GAACGTTGGCGCCGACGTCTTCTCATCCTTTACTCCCACGTGTAAACTTCTTGTTGTTTTGACAACATCCGCCCCGTTCGTCGCGGCTGAATCGCTTTACGAGCAATTATGTGGAATACTGTACATGTTGTCCTGAACCCTCGACACATTATCTGCCATTAAGTTGATGATGCAGTTATCCCTTTGCCCTATTAAATATATCCCAATAATGGAACTTCCTCCACTCTCATCTCATGAGCATCAGCGTACGGTGCCGGGATGCGTGAGTCATGCCGGTGTTATTTTGGCTCCCAAGTGTCTCTGTAGTATTTTCTAACGTCCTCACACTTGTTGAATAGTTAAATGGCTCTTTCCCTTTTAAACTCACGCAGCGGAAAGACGGAGGAGGACAGAGAGAGAGAGGTTGCCCCCTGGGCTGTAAATGGATTACATGGATCCCACACTGAAGAGGCCTGCAGCACTTTCAGCACCGCTGCTACAGGGAGTCTGTGCTGTGCTGTTGGAGCTGCCATGGATACCCAAACTTTCAGTCTACAAACTATACAAATGCTGTCAAGTTTTACGATCCAACACTGACATTTTGCGTTGGCTCTATGGGAAACTACACGAGGATATGTCGCATTGTGGTTATGATAAAATAGCTTTCTGTTGCAGGTTTTTGAAGAAGGATGGTGTCATCTATACAAATTACAATTCAGCATCAAAGAGTCTTGAGGTTCTTGATGCGTCGCTTTCAAGTCTGAGGGGCACACTTCCTCCCTCAGATCTGAATTTTTACCCACCTCTCTCCAAGACCAACGGCACTTGAAAAAGAAGCTCCCTGTTTGCGAAATCCCAACGGCAGATGGACGTTCGGAGGAGCAGGCTCTATTTCATTATTGATTTAATGATTGGGACATTTGGAATTTTAAATCACGCAGCTCATCGCCTGGTTGTCTGTGGACTGTAATTACGCATGTTCAAAGGTCTTTTTAAAGCAGGAGGGCTCACAGTCCAAGACAATTTACTTCAGAGGAGGCACAATTTACCTGCCAATTACCACCGCTAAAGTGGCTTTGCTATGATACAAAAAGCAGCAGAGACGGCGAGTGGCACGTGGAACGCCACTGGCTTTGTTGGAACGAAAAATCAGGTCCATGAATGCAATTTGAGATTCTGACGCATTCAGTAATAAAAGGTGGGGAAGGTGAGAAAGGGGGGTTTTGTTCCACGGCGAATGAAAAAACGGTGAGGGGATGAAAAATGAGGAGGCCGGCCCCAAAATAACATTACATTACTTCTCAGAAAGATCGTTGTCGATTTATAATCTGTTGAGCGCAGCTTGTTTACTCTGTTTTACGTCGGTAGTGCGAACAACAATTGCCGAATTTTTTTGAAGGCAGCAGGCATCAATAACACAATAGATGGGAGCGACAGTGCACTTTATGAAAGGCCCTCTTTGGAGTAGAAGACAAACCTGCTGCGCTTACACGTATATACACGGTCCATCCACGGCGTGTTCATGAGGATACATTTTTGAGAAACCTTGAATGGAACGGATCATTACCAATCCAAAAAACGTGATTTATGCCCACATTCAAGCTGAGGAAAAGGAAATTGGACCGCGAGTAATGTAGGTGTTTAACTATAAATGTGTACGTGGGCGTGTGTGTGATGCGAGCACATCCTCCTGGGCGTTTTTGTGAGTCAGCACTGCTATCATGGACATAGTGGGATGAATTACACTGTGGTCGTCTTTGTTGGGCTTGGAGAAAAGACTGGTAGCAACAACAGATTTCAGCAGAGCTCACAAATGAAAAACATATGTGCATTGCTACTTGTACTGTGCATGATTAAAAATGTTAAACAATAATCTCTGCATCAGCGAAGCGTTTTATTTGTCTTGTTTTCATTCCATTGATGTAAAAAGGCCTCAAGCTCATACATTCTATTTACATCCTGAATAACAGCTTAAAATACTTTGATTGTGGTTAGCATAAGTTTCCACCACTACAAAGAACACATGCTATTGGAAATTTTGTGAGAACATTGACATCATACTACTTATAGGAAACCCCACAAACTGGATTTCTTCCACTTGTATCTTATTTTATTGCATCTTGTATCTCTATAATACAATATTGTGTACAATATTTTGTGGCCCAGCTCAGTACAGTATAACTGTAGGCTGTGGAAAGGTGTAGAAAAGACGGTGGTAAATGTGCATTCTTAGACAGATAGTAATCTTTGACATGGGAAACCATTAGAAAAACTCAAGTTCAATGGGAAAAGTGTACATCAGAGTCATGTACCAATACCATGACTAACAGGAAAACTCTTTACAACGTGTGTGAGCTGGACACCCGCTGGGGCCGTGGGGATTATGACAGTATATGACTACGAGCAGCAGATGGAAAGAGGCCGCTGCTGGCCAGATGTGAAGCTGGGAGCCAGACGTGATTCAAAAAGACTGACTCAGCCTCCTGCTGAAGTGGGTTGGCGTCATTCAGGCACATTAACCGTTTTCGCGACCGCCTAAATAAGCACCTATTATTAATAACTGCGAAGCTATGTCTCCTGTAATTAAGTTAAATCAGGAAAAACTATTCTAAAGAGGCTAATAAACCAGTTTGTAAATGTCTAACGGGGAATCTGCAACAGGTACGGGCGAGAGAGAGAAAGAGTTCTCTACAAAATGAGAGACGGAGACAGTATTTTTCCGCTCACCTGTAGATAAAAATATTCACAGACTTTAATCCATAAGAAGTTTCTCACAACGAGGCTTCTGGATAATCTTGAGTAAACAGGGCTTAATTTCTGAAAAGAGACATCACTGTTGAGCTTTTCAAAATGTATTTTTGGGGCGCTTTAAGCCGAGTGCCATAGCGTCCACGGTGTGCATCTGGAGAGATGGCAGACGTCTCCAAGACTAGGCAACCCGCACAATGTATTTGGGGGTGAACAGTCCCTTTAACTCACAGCTAACCCAGTAACTCATGCACGTTATATCTCCAGATACAGAAGGCATGTGGAGATGTGAACACCAAGCTGTGCTCTCTGTTGGACTACAGAAGAAAACATCTTCCCTCTGTGGTAGCTTTTCCCTCAAGAGACACAACGGGGGAACACTAATGACAACTGTAGCCCCTGTCTGCTGGGATGACGCATCCAAAGCATAATGTTTCCATCCAAAACAAGTTAATAGACATAGAAATGATACAATTGTCAGGCTGTAGCTTCTGGCTCTTTCTATTCTATTCTATTCCCTCTCTCAGTGGTGGTGGCGGCTCATGTAGCATCAGTTGGCGCTTCTCCGTCACCCTAAGGTTGGACAACTCGGCCTTGCAAAGCCACACGCACAAACACACAAACACACACAATACACACCAAAAAATAGTGTTTAACCCTTTAAAGGGAGTTTATGCGGCGGGCGGCGGGATGTAAGGGGCCCTGGGGGCTGCGGGAAGCTGGTTGACAGCGTGACTGGCTGGTGGGACTGACTGGCGTACAGGACTGTGTGAAGGCCCGCGAGGCGATAGGGGACGACAGCCCTTCTTTAAAAGGTCATGAGCGCAGATGCGCTGTGTGTTTTAACAGTGAGACGCATTTGGACAAACCGGCGTTGACGCAGCGTGACTAGGTACCGACACAACTGATCCCCGGCCCGCGTTACGTCACCGCGTTACTAATTCATACTCCAGTCCTTGCAGGAACATTGCATTCATTTCATAAACGATGCCCATAAGTGTTATAATGTAAACTCACTAATGAGTCCCTGCTGGACTATTACAGTGATATCACAGAGGGTTCTCCTCCTGACGAGAAACAGACTCAAACATAACCGGTAATTAGCGGGACTTTGTGCTGTCGAGATGCCGGCAGGTGGGACAAATAGTCCTACCGGATGAAGCGAGTGAGTCACTGTCAAACGCGCGGAGGAGACAGATGATACAGTGCACGGTTTTGAGTGAGCGACTGAGCGCGGAGGCCACAGTGTATCATGCTACATCAAAGCCGGTTATCTACTGGTTGCATGGCGGCTGAGGAGTAGGCTTTACTTGAAGGGCTGGCAGCTTTTGTGAAGTGGAAGCTTGCCAGGAATAAATGTGTCCAATTTCTTTTGGGTAGCCTAACGACTCGGGAGACCACGCAGGCAAAAAGCTCAAATTTAGAGAATTTTGATTGCAGGAATGAGGTTGGGAAATTAATCACACGCTGCACAGAAGCCTACTGAATAGTTTCGCGTGTAGGCTTCAGGCCACTGGGAGCGGTCAGGGGAGTCTCCAAATACCCCTTTGGGATCTTACGGAGCCAACTCTTAAGTGTTAAAACATGGCATGTGCTTCCGAATGGACACAGTTCCCCGGGCTGTCTTTAACCCAATTTATTCACTGTGCCGGGGCTGTATGTTTGGCTTTGACACCACAATCACATCCATCTTGACCTGTGTGTGTGTGTGTGTGTGTCTTGTGCTGCCACTATCAATAAAGCCGTTTGTGTTTTTCAGAAAAAACAGATGACAATCTGATGCTGAGCCATGCAGCTACTGTACTTGGCTTAAAATACCAAATGGACCGTGACAGGCATTAGCTCCAAACCCTGCCACCCATGCACCCTCGCAGCCTCTATCTTGGGGAAGGATTTGCATTGCTGCGCCTTCGTTTTGCACCGCGGTGAACTGAACACCGCTGAGTTCGGATTTCCCTGCTCGGCTCCGGCACAAAACACCCGAAGTCCGCGTTCAATTCGACCGGCGCAATGTGGCTCGCGTCCTCGGCCAGCGCGCATCCGTGAGGCTTAGGACGTCCTCTCGCTTCCCACGCGAGGGAGCCTCCATTCAAGTGACACCAGTCACACGTGAATTCATTTTCCCGAGGCCCGCCCGTGCGCTCTTCTGCCACAAGAGCGCAAACCAGGGGGGGATGTTTTGACCCGTCTGCCAACCTCCTTGTCGGGCTTCTTTTTTTTTTTCTTTCTCCGTGGATATGACATGACTAACATCGGCGGCGCATCTGTCTCACCGGCTGCTGTATGTGGCGAGACGTCCCCTTCCCTGGCGGAGGAAGATGCTGCTGCTGCCGCGGCGGCTGCTGCTGCTGCTGCTGCTGGAGTCCGTGCTGGAAATAGTCGCTGCCAGCGGCTTTGTTGCCCGCCACCCGGTCCCTCTTCTGCCGCGCGGTGGAGCCTCCGTTCTCCCTCTCTTCGCCGGAGTCGAGGCTGCTGAAGTTCCACACTATCAGCGTCTGGACCAGCAGCACCGTGAGGGCGACTATCAGGGCGGACCGCGACCGGCGGGCCAACCTGCGAGCGCACACGCCGCCGACCATCTTCGCACCGTGGCGCACGGACGCTGGAGGACCGTCTGTGGCTGTGCGCAGCGCGACGGGAGGAAGGAGTGGAAGTAGGGGAGGGAGGACGGGGAAGAGGAGGAGGAGGAGGAGGGGGGAGTGAGGCTGAGCTGACGGTGGCGGAGAAGGAGAGGCACAGGGCCACCGTGTGGCGGTACTCGTTGTGAGAGTCTTTGTGATGCGCCAGGCTGCTCTTCTGTCTGCTCTTCTATAGCCGAGGGGGGGGGAGACCGTGCATTTCCCTCCATCCAAGAGGACCCTCACTACGACTCGCAAATGTCCTCATTTGCAATGCTTAAAACGGATGATTACAAGGCAGAGAGCAGCAGAATTATGAGGCCTCCAGGGGTCCACAGGGGCAGAATGCTGGGTCTCTTGATGTTATGTTGCCCCAAGCACCTTCTGACTAATTCACACGCAGATTGTTTCCGTTTAACACCCAACTGGTGGCATTTCAACTGGCTCTTTAGTAACTGAAATCCAAGAGAAGAATGTACTTTTTGTTCCCCGCCGAGCGGTGGAGCTGGTATGAATTCAGAGACACTGCCCGGGTTTGCCTGCATTTGTTCTCGCAGCTAACTGTGAGGCGGAGCGGTTCCCTCCCAATGCTCAGAGCTAAAATTGAAATTCCTCTGCAATCCCAGGAGTAAAACTGTGCTGTGTTTGATTTTTCTTGTTGTTGTTTTTTTACCACTCCAACATCCCCCAAGCCAAGAGTGCAGAGCTTTCAAACATTATCTGTACATAGTGGCCAAACCACATCTTCGCCACGTTCAAGTCTGTCACATGATGCCTGTGGGCCTGAAAATACTTTCCCATAGATTTACATCTGGTAGTAATGTCTGTACTTCAGCAAATTCAATTGTTGTATCCAGTATACATCCACAACATCCCTATATCAAATATTTGATCAGAGCGAAATAGGCTGTAATATTTAAACATAGAAAACATGGCTCCTTCACCATCATTTCTGTGGTGGTCCCAGTGCACCTACTGGGAAGTGCAAAAAGAAATGCAAATCCAAACCTGTGACTCAAGTACTGAATCTAACCTGAGTGTTGTAGAATAAGAACTGAAGTGATGTCACCCAAAACTGCCTCCTCTCGAGCACTGAATCAGCAAATTGCCTCCAAAGGTCATGAGTGAGGCCTGCAACACACATCGTGTTTTAGTGCACACCTCTGAAAGCACACTCATCCCGCACTTCATCCAGCGTTACATATACTTCAATATATTGCTAATACAATTGTCAGACTGCATGATGACACATTTTACCATGAAAAGGATTGTTTTCAGACCTGCTGTTTAGAACACTTTCAAAACTTGATGAAACTTTTCAAAATCAACAACTGTATATACATGAGTGTGTGCGCGTCTGGGGTATCAATCTGTGAATTAATATTAGAACGTCCTATTGTGTTTATATGATGGAGTCTTATGGAAATGCGTGTGATAAGGAGCTTAACCGTTTGCCGCACCAATATCATAATAAAAATGAGGTTTAATTATAACACCACATCAGTGTTAAAAAAATGATTCCACTAAATGCAGGACATAATAATAACAAATGTAAGCAGTAAACATGAAGGCTGCCATCCTTATGAAAACATCCATATCTCATCGGAAATCATTAACCTTTAACAACGTTCTACCATTGTTGTTCATCAGCAATACACTTTGCAGATACAAAGAAGGCAACAAGTGCCAGCAAATCAGTTTGGTGGGAAAAAACGCTCAAACTACCACATCAAGCCACGCCAACGGCTGTGAGAGAGTTCATTTGCCGTGCAGATGAGTTAGCCCTTCAACACTTGGGCTATTCATTAAGTTTCTTGTCAAACAGTTTAAACTCTGTTTAACAATTATTGCAGGTTGACTTTTAAGTTACATGCCACCATTGCCAAAGGTTCCCCACCCCCTGCGGCGAGGGACACAGAGCAACGTTAGCGTTCATCAGCATTCATTTGGATTCATCCTGGTGAATTAAGTCAAACATTCACACTGTTTAGCTCTACTCGGGTCTCCAACCTCCAACTTCTTTTCTGGCTCTCAGGCAGCTAAATGTTCCACTGTGTTCAAAGGGTTATCGCCAAGTGGGTGAAGCCTGAGCACACTAAACCAACCCCCCCCCGCGAGGACACCATTGTTCTTCCCTCCACCCTGGCTGTGATATTTATTTAAAGGCTTTGAGCATGCTAATGTGAAAGCTCCAACTACTGTTTCAAACGCCGGCATTGGTTGGCCTTCCCAGTCAAATAAGACTTGTGTGTGATGTTAAGGTCACGGTTTCATTTACATTCAAGCAAGAACTGAAAGCTCTTAATAAAATTGCTGTAATGTTGCTGAGATCTGACACACCAGGGACGGTTACATCAGACTCTTTGTTGATAAGTGAATGAAACCCACATTGAGGCATTTATCATGTTTATTCTGTTGTGTTGAACAAGTGATTGAGCTTTGGGCTAAAGTCTGCAGATGGTATAAATGACTATTAGCAAACAAAAAAGCCAAATTGAAATAGATTTGAATGAACCTCAGGAGAAACACTTTGAATTGATGTGCTCGCTGTTGTGTCCTTTGCTGACTCTGTTCCCCGTGAATTGCAATTCAAAGTTCAGAAAGCTTCCATACAGACAACATGTGTAGCATTATTTACACTAAAGAAAGACAATACGGTCAACACTTAATTGAATAGTGCTGAAAAAACACACACTGACACCCTCATAAAAGCTGTTCCCGGTCAAAGCCGTTGTTGCTCTGTTTGTTTCTGAGCAACAAGCAACCGAGGTGAAAAAATAAGATTGTAGTCCTGACACGGACAGCAGATGCAGCTTTCTGACACTTTGATAGCTGGTTACATGTTGAATGACAGGGAAAATAACGTAATTGGGGGACAAAAACAAGAAAATTGCTAGATGTGACACCAGACAAAGTTTAGCATATGTGAAGCCTTGAGCTGGGAAGTGAATTATATACTGTAGTGGCTGCTGAAACACAGAAAACTAAGTTGTTATTAAAAGAGCCGTTCTGTGGTTTTTCATCTCCAGCCATTTCTCAGCTGACACGCAGACAAAGCACTAAAAGCAAAGCTCAAAACAAACTGCTCTGCAGGAGACGAAGGCAGATATTTCTGTCAGAGTGCGCTGACCTTGTGGTTCTCAAATCGACAAGGCAATTAGACACTCCTCTCATTGGCAGAATTACTTTTGGGCTTCTAACAATAGCTGTTCATTTAAAGCTTAACTGTGTGTTAAGCGTATCCCTGTACTCTCACCCCCCCCCCCCCATATCAAACAATTTTAAACAATAGGCAAATGAGAATGGCTGTTCTAACTTTAGACAAAATGAGGGGGGAGAAATTTCTTTGTGTCAACAGTTTTTCTGGCCATCGCATGGGAATATATAATAATATATATATAATAATATTGTTGGATTGTAGCACTTCTTCCAAAAGGTTGAGAAGAGAGTCTGAGATAGGAGGAGAGGGATAGACAGACAGACAGACAGACAGGCAGACAGACATGTAGAGACAGAGACAGAGAACCTGCCAACAAATGAAATGTAGTTGCCAATTAAGGTACAGATAGACAGTATGAGGCAGGAGATGCACGTGCTGCCATAAATGAGAGCAAAATGAAAGAGGAGCGAGATAAGGACCAGATACAAGACAAAACTAGATGTAATTGGAAAAAAGGGCCGAAAGTACGAGAAAATACGAAACGTAATCAACGCGTGGCAAGCTCGCTGAAATTAGTAAAGAGCCCACAGGTGATGGATGAGGGCACAGTCGGAGAAAGACAGAGGGCCGGAAAACCAAAAGCATTTATGAACTCAATGTGAGGAGATTACAAAACTGAGAAAAAAAAAAAAAGAAAGCAAGACGGAAGAGCCAGCTCCTGCTCCTCTGGCAGCAGCGCCGTGTCTTCGCCTCTCATTAGCTCCGGCTCTGTTGCTTAGGGGACCGAGTGGGCCGACTGTCGCTACGACAATGGTTACCATCCCCTGCGGCAACAAATGCTGATTTTAATTAGACCCGACCCCTTTGTCACTCAGACAGACGGACACGTGCGCGCAGGCTGACCAGAGTAGCTCCCTGCATGATTCAATGCAGCGTGCGGCCTCGTCCTCAGGAGCGCGAGACGGTGAGGTAGATGGCGAGACAGATGAGCGGCCAGCTGGTGGAGTGAGTCTGGGACAGGAGAAAGAGAGAGAGAGGGAGGAACCCAGGGTGGGCTGTGCACAACATGTCTGCAGCCTGAGGCGTCCCGCTGGAAGGACACCACAGAGCGCTCAGTGTTTTATGTAATCAGGCAGCGTGCTGACTGTAGTGGGGTAGAACACGGCGAATCACAGCAGCGGACAGGTGTCCTTGACGCCGATGCCCCAGGGGAGCAGAGAGAGACTTTTTTTCCTCTCACTGCGGTACGACAAGAGACGATAGAAGCCATCGTGCTTTTTTTCTGCACATGTCTTATGCACAGCGGGGAAACTTTAGCTATTTCGGTTTTACGTAACTTGCTGCTGAAAGGGGCGCTAACACATAAGGCGGCCACATCTGTACGGCCAGTGACAGAGGTTGATCCTTCAACAGTCCTGGAGAGCGGAAGGCTCGTTGGCGCTATAGTGTGAAGCTGTTTTGATGATGTTCTCTAATAAACCCATAGAAAAAGAAGTGGAATGGACATTTAAATGTTTACCGTGGTCCTTTCACTAGATCAAGAACATCACACAGCTGGTCACAGCTCGCAACACATGGTGGCCATCCCGCTATATCGATTTGAATGGCTTAATGCAAAGCCCCCACCCACAAACAGCAATTATCCGTTTGCACCTAAACATATGGAATTCCCCCATTGGCAAAATTGCTGTCTGTCAAAGAGCCGGCAGGAGGTGACTTCTCCAGTTGCAAAAAGTAGTCATATTGTATTGAAGTCTATGAGAAAATGACCCAACTCTTAACTGAAATTATTACCTCATTA